GCTCTAGGCATCCATCCACATCTTTAGATGCCAACATACTTCCACATGCTTGACTCCTGTTCAGACTCTTAACTAACCCTGCTCCTGTCTGTTGTTTGGGTTTTTTCTTTAAATTATTTTAAGAAAATAGAGAAAACCTTTTAAAGAAGCCTGTACCCGAGGTGTAGGGATCCTGAGTCTTCCAGTGTTAAATCCTGGCCATTTTTCACTACATTGCAAGAAAACACGTTATCGTCTCCATGTTAATTGCCAACTGTAAGCAACTGGCCTAGCTTCTTGGCTCTCTGTCAAGACAAATCTGTCAGGTTTCATTTATTTGTGTGTTCTGGTGCAGCTGGCAGTGAACCTGCCTTGCCTGCCAGCCCTCAGGTTAAAATTCCCCCCAGCTGAATCAGACTATCTCACTGATACACGCCTTAACCAGCTTCTAGGGCATTTTTAGTAAAAAAAATACTTCCAAATACTGGGAATGGCTGTTTCGAGTCAGACACTGAGAAATAAAATGACTCCCACTCCTTTGATATTTTGAAAATCAAACACATTGAACTTCTGGTCTTGATTACAGGTGCTCTGTTTCTCATGAAGACTTGGGACGTGGTTGAAGAATCTGACTACATTCAATGTAGTTATGAAGTAGACCGTTCAAACATGACTGAATACAAACTTAAGCAAGTGAGAGCGTTAAATGTCAGGATTGCTAATAAGGCCTTTAAGGATTGTTTTCTCAGAAATATTTAGCTAATGTTCCTTCCCACTGACTGATTGATCCCTGTGGGCACCGTCAGACGTCCTGCGACTGGGAATCAAAAGTTCAGAGTGCTCAAGAATTGTCAGGTCACGCTCCCCTTCTTACACAAGGGAAGTAAAGATAATGTAAAGCCATGTGGAGATTGCTGGATTATGTGGCTAACCCAAGCAGTGTGGTGGTGGCCAGCTGTGGTCTTGATTCCTTAGAGCAAGTCATGGTCATAGGGATGGAGCTGCGGAAGCCCAGCATAAGTCTCCATAACAGAAAACAAGCTGGAAGATGCATAAACCTGTGCCCAAGGTGAATGATCAATATAAAATACCTGAGAAAAAAATCCGTAATTAGGACTTGTATTTTAAATAGCATAAAAATCTTACAGCTCAAAGAAACTGCAGAGGGTGGTGTGCTAAACCACAAGCCCCTGTTCCTGGGGGTTTGTAGAAAGGTCAGTGGTGGCAGCAAATTGAATGGCAGGTTTGGACCCTTCAGGTGTGCGGACACAACTGATTTTTGTGGATTATGTTTTGAGAAGGAAAAGACAGGCATAGCTAGTGAGATTCCAAGCTAATTGTTGAAGGCGTCTCCCTCTGCTTCTCATCCTGACTTGTCACCTCCTTCTCCACCTTGTGTCTCCTACTAAAGCTCTCCCGGATGGGAGAGTTGGGGAAGGTCTGCACATCCCACAGTGGGGATGGAGGCAAGGTAGCAATGTAAGGCAGCACAGGCCTTTGCTGTTGGAGAGCCAGGGGATGTATAGATCATCTTGTTCTGCACCACTAAGCCATTGCCGGGGCTGCAGACAGAAAAGGCCCAGGAGCGTTGCTACTTCCCATCTACATCTTTTTGCACAAGGATGTTAAAACATCTCTTCTTCTCCTCCTCAAATAGTTGTACATATGTATTGGAAGTGAATTCAAAGCCAGCAAGGAAAGACAAAAGTAGGAACACAGCCCAGGATAACTTGTGACTAAAAATTACTGGCTTTTGACCCAGCTTTTATTTATAACAGATTCATGGGAAATCTTCTAGGATTGTTTCAAAACAATGCCAATTATTAAATTTTAGAATTAAGAACTGCGTAGCTGGACAAGGAAGGAAGATTAGATCATATACCAGGAATATACTGGGAATTTGCCACAATCCCTTAATTCCTAACCTTAAAAAAATGCAAATGACATAGTCTTGAGTATATTAGTAATGAAGTGAGATTTTCTAAAAGCTTGAAGATAAAGACCCGCTGCCCAGCACGTGGCTTTGATGGGAATGTAACTTAGAGAGTATCTGCTCAAGGCAGATCATAGAATCACAGAATAGTTTGGGTTGGAAGGGACCTTTAAAGATCATCTAGCCCAACCCCCCTGCAAGGAGCAGGGACATCTTCAACCAGATCAGGTTGCTCAGAACACCAGCCAACATGACCTTGAATGCTTCCAGGGATGAGGCATCTACTGTCTCTCGGGGCAACCTGTTCCAGTGTATCACCACCCTCAGCATAAAAAAATCTTCCTTATATCTAGTCTAAATCTTCCCTCTTTTAGTTTAAAACCATTACCCCTTGTCCTATTGCAAGAGGCCCTGCTAGAAAGGGGTTAATCGAGAGCAGTCTACAAAGAGAGAACAATGAGGAAAAAGGTTGCTCTAAATTTTACTTGGCATTTCCAAGGCATTGTATCACATGCAATAATTTTGAAGAAAAATCATACCTAATCCTGCATTTCCTTGGTTGACATTTTATTTGTATTTTCTGTCTTCCCCTCCCCTTTTTCCCTTTTTAAAAGGATATTGCTGCTAATGCTGGCTGTCTCACAATTATCACAACAGGCCCTACTAAAAATTTTGCCCCCATCTCTCCTGCCCCTTTAGGTACTGAAAGGCTGCAATAGGGTCTCCTCAGAGCCTTTTCTTCTCCAGAACGAACAGCCCCAGCTCTCTCAGCCTGTCCTCATAGCAGAGGTGCTCCAGCCCTCAGGTCATTTTTGTGGCCCTCCTCTGGACCTGTTCCAACAGGTCCATGTTTCTCCTGTCCTGTGGGCCCCAGAGCTGGACGCAGTACTCCAGGTGGGATCTCACCAGAGTGGAGTAGAAGGGCACAATCACCTCCCTTGACCTGCTGGCCACGCTGCTTTTGATGCTTCTTTTGATTCTTGAGATCTGTCACCTTAAAGACTGCAGCAAGGTATTAAGCCCAGAATAGCTTTGTTTAATATTTTTCCAATATTGAATGAATCAGATGATCTTCTAGGTTTATGCACAAGAGCAGTGATTATGCTGCTTGTGCAATTTGAACAGTGATAGAACAAATGAATCTGCCACCCTCACTTAGAAAAGCTATTCCAGAAATTACTGCACGCTGGAGCAGATCAGCTTGTCTATCATCTCCCAGTGAACGCCTTGGCTTGCACTCTTGCTCTACCTAGTGGATTTGGAACCTATTGAAATGCCATTTTCTCAACCTGGAATTACGTTAATTCTAATCCTGTGTTCATATCATTCTCATTATTATTTTTGGTGATGGTTTTGATGAAGATGATTGTTGTTGCTGTGAACACGCATCCCATGTGCTTGGTCTGTCTTTCAATATTTGGAAAAAAAGAATGAACTCCTGAAATATCGATTTTCCCTCAAGAAAAATTAACACAGAGGCATCTTCCACCCCTCTTTTTAAAACTGGACCATTACATAGGAAAAAATGCAAGAGTCTGAAGTCAAAGGGCAAGAGAAGTCCTGATTCTGTGCATGGTTTCCTAAATGTCATTTGTTGGGTACTACTGTTGGAAGCAGCCTTCTGTATCCCCCCCCAAGCCTAAATTCAGGACTGTAACATCATCAGCTGAACATTATCACCAGTTCCTCCCAATCCCAACTCTGTTCCTTTTCCTGCAGTCCCCCATTCTGCTTCACAGCCCCATCGCTCCTTAAGACCCCTAACCCAGAACTGAAATGTCTCTGTCTTCCCCTCTATGGCTTCTCCTTTCCAAATGGTTTCTCCAAGCATGATGCCCCGGCCATCTAAGGCACATCCCTACCTCAACAACCCCGTTCCCCTCACCTTCCCCAAATGATTTTTTTTTTTCCCATGGCCTTAGCAGAAACACATGTCCCAGACTAATTAATTTCCTGTAGGCACATGAGAAGAACAGCAGGGGAGGTCTGGGAGCTGGAGACAGCTTCATGCATCAGTAAATTACTGGCCAGCCAGCGACAGGAGCAGCTGTGTGAAGGTTCTCCCTGTGATTTGTAAAAGTCCTGGACATAGGCAAAACCAGCAGTTGCTGAGATTGTTTGTGCTTGGCTTGTGTGCAGCACAGTGTGGGAACATCTAGCCTACTGATTCAGACTTTCATCTGGCAAGGGGCAGTTTTTGTTCCAGTCCTTGATCCTTAGGTCATGTCTGCTTCTTATCCACCAGCTTTGTGTAAGATGCGTATGGGGTCTTAGGCACGAGCTCCCTCCAAGCTGCTCCCTCCTGGATAAGTGCTTCAAGTTGTTCTTCTCTGCAGAGAGCTTTGTGGTCCCCGATTTAAGCCCTACGAAAATCCGCGAGCTTTATTTGGGTACACTCAGTAGCACATCAGAGCAAAGGTGGCTGTGAAGTCTGTGCTTGTAGCTAACTACTGCCTCGGAGTTATCATTTGCTGCTCTGCCGTAATGTTGAGCATTCATATGTTAATCCACTCTTGGAGGCTGTTGTGCCTGCCTGCCTGCCTGCAAGGCTTTATCAAATGACAGCAAAATTAATAGTTTGGTTTCTGCCAATTTGATACAAGATGCTTAAAATGAAAAGCAGAATATACACCACTGAAAAGAATTTTGGAGCATTGCTTATTTCTCTCCAACTACAATATTTTCATGCTTTTTTTTTTTTCATTGCCATTGACACCAAGAGAGTTTCTAATTTTCTGTTCTGAAAACAGAAAAGATTCTTCATAAATACTGTGTATGTGTATGTGCATATGCTGGTCTTTTTCCCTGCTGAATAGATTTGACCATGCCATATACCAGCTGAAATATCATGAACTAAATATCATGTAAAAAATGTAAAGGTTTGGGTTTTTATATCTATCAGTCAATGTCAATCAATATCACTCAGAAGGGAATGGGGACAGCAATTTCTACATTAATTCACTTTGCAACTTGACTCTGAGTTTGAGAATGAATATGAGTTTCACTGTAAAAAAAAGGCAGATGATATTTCATATAGATGTCATTCTGATCCCCTCCCTGCCTCCATTTCTTCTTTGTCTCCCCACAGAAACCACTGGACTCTGATTTCCTCAAATGCTGTAAATTAGCTCGGAAGGAATGGACAACTCCAACAAAAAACCTCACACAAGTCTTCTGAGAAGCCAGCAAGGGAACTAGAAAAAAAGAGCTTGACTTGCAAAATCTCACCTGACCCATGACTGCCTCTCTGCTAATGCAACACTAATTTAAGACACCTTTGTACATCAGGTGCTGCAACTCCTCAGCGTGTTACTCTTTGTACACTGTTTTTTCTTTAGTTTCCCAGTAGAGTGGACAATCTGATTTACATTCAGTTGTTTATGAAAATCCCACTTCACCCAAATCCTAAATACAAAGCTCTCAACAATTTTTTTGCAAGTTATTGCATTTCACGGGTCATTTCATGTGACAGTCCAAGCCAGGCTTAAGAACACCCAACCTGGCAGCAGCCCCTTCCCACTCCATCCGTCCCCCACAGGGAAGCTGCCGGGTTCGACCCCACCAAATAGGGTGAAGTGGTTATTTCTGCTGTGGTCATCAGGGTTTCCAACCGGGCACCGAAGCTGTAGCTCTCTTACTGGTATCCTTTCTGCTGCCCCCACAAGTTTCTGCTGTGGTTGCTCAGGTTGGAGTCTCCTTTCCAACCATCAGGGCCAATTTCAAAACAAAATGAAGGTGGTGCCTTCACTGGAAGTGCTCCTACAGGCATGTCCTCCTAACCCAGATATAACTGCCTCCAGCAAGAGGGCTTTTCTCTCTGAAGCTTATACAGATCCCAAAGACAAAATAAACTATACAAGTGAAGGACTCTGCATTGAACAATCCAGAATCTTTTTTCAAAGTGTCAAAATTTGGTCCAAAAAAGCTAGTACTTGCCACTTATGTCAGTCTACAGCTACTTGAAAAATATAGAGTGGAATATTTGGTCACCAGAAAAAGGTCCAACTTGACAGACTTTCTTCCTTGCCCCCTACATGGGTTCTGGTAATGCAGGAATCCCAGGTTGAGCTCTGCCCGTGTACCTGTGCAAAATGCACTGCGGTGCCACACTTAGTCCCACATTCAGAGCCACCTACATGTGACTCAGGCACCGTAATATGCATAAATAGTCTTATTTGTATGTCTTTTTTTCCAGATCCAAGGATGTTTGTGCTGCTTTACATCACAAGCTTCGCCATCTACACGAGCGGACAACCTCTGCAAGGCCAGCTCAAAGGAGAAAACTACTACACCAGATACGTCTGTAGCATCCCTGGTTTGCCCGGCCCTGCGGGTCCCCCCGGAGCCAGCGGATCCCCGGGGCCACACGGACGCATTGGTCTTCCAGGAAGAGATGGTAGAGATGGCAGGAAGGGAGAAAAAGGTGAAAAAGGGAGTGCAGGTATTGAATATTCCTGTAACCTAACACAGTAATACAACAAATTAAGACCTTTCATCATCACTGTTCACATATATATATATGTATGGTGAATGTGTGTATGTGCCTGCATGGGTTTAAGTGTGATGCATGAATATATAGCAAGAGAAAGAAAACACTCAGATATATTTTAGATATGTCTATTATGCATTTACTGACACTTGTGTAAATAAATGTAAACGCATAGCCTTCCTGCGCATAGATGCTAAGAAAAAGTTTGGGAAAGATGAAGCATGTGTGGTGTCAAATAAATAGTCTCATTTGTGCCACTAGCCAGGAATAAAAGATTAGCAGGTATTTAGGTACCTACTAAAAATGCTCAAACAGCAGGAGATATTTAGTGCACGGGTATTATTACATAGATAGACACAGCACTATCCTTCAGGGCCCACAGTTCAGTCAGCAACGGATTGATCAAGTATGAAATTACTCAATGTGCAATTAAAATGTATGAAGAAAAGTAGTAATATAGAAACAAAGGACCCCCAGGCTGCGGAGTCCGGCCCTCTGTTCCAACCTGCCTTTCACACACTTAACTAGAAGATTTTGAAAGTGTTTTTGGAGTATTTTGAAATTCTGACGGTGTTTTTCTTGTCTGTTCAGGCACACACAGTAGCCCACACAATCATTTACCGAGATGCTATGTGCAACGATTAACTAACTTAAAATGTTTTTGAAGGTTTAAGAGGAAAGACTGGGCCATTAGGACCAGCTGGAGAGAAAGGAGACCAAGGTCAGTCTGGTAAAAAAGGACCTGGAGGATTGACTGGTGCCAAAGGTGAAGTAGGTCCAGCTGGACCACCTGGACCTAAGGGAGATAAAGGAGACCGAGGAGAGCCAGGTGCACCAGGGGTCTGTAAGTGTGGAAAGATAGTGCTGAAATCTGCCTTTTCTGTTGGCATCACCACCAGCTACCCAGAGGAAAGATTACCAATTGTATTCAATAAAGTCCTCTTCAATGAGGGGGAGCATTACAACCCTTCCACAGGGAAGTTTATTTGTGCCATCCCAGGGATCTATTATTTTTCTTACGATATCACCTTAGCAAACAAGCATCTTGCAATTGGGCTGGTTCACAATGGGAAGTACCGGATAAAGACATTCGATGCGAACACGGGCAACCACGATGTAGCTTCTGGATCCACAGTGATCTACCTTCAGCCAGAAGATGAAGTATGGCTTGAGATCTTCTACACTGACCAAAATGGTCTCTTTTCCGATCCAACGTGGGCAGACAGTTTGTTTTCTGGATTTCTCCTATATGTTGATACAGATTATCTTGATGCGTTATCGGATGAAGATGAGCTCTGAAGCAGATGATGTCAAAGGACATTCAAACTGGACACCCCAGCACAAGATTTCATCTAGACACGGGGGGGGGCACAAAGTTGAAAAAAAAATCATCTGGGAGTTTATTTTTGCTTTGACAGGAACCAAATCTGAGCTCACAAGGATTTTTTTTAGAATCTAAGCTGCATTTTTTACCGAACAGCAGGGATATAAAAAGGAACTGTAATTACCGAAAGACTGCATCACTCCAGGACCCACTCCTCCTGAAAGCCATGTTTATAATGCTATTTAAACAAATTTAAGATACTGTACATTGGATTTTATATAAAATATATTAAGTTGCAATGTAGAATGGGTATTTTGTATATAACATTAAAGAAAAATTGAACAACTGATGGCATAATTATCTTTGGTCATTTTAAGACAGGAAACACATTAAAAAGAGAGAAAACTTTTTTTTTTTTTAAAAAGGAGAGGAATAAAGCAGGAATGCCTGCTTCAGAATGCAGCTGAACAAGTCACAAGGACTATCCCATCTCATACTTACACCAACAAATGATATTCATAAGTAACTAACCTCCTAATAAATACATGAAGATCTGTACTAGCTAAGGACTGCCCAATGACATTTATAAAAGAAGAGAACAAAGACATTAAACATATAAAACAATTAAAACTAGGAAATCTGAAAACTTGGAGATAGGCAATCAGTATTCAATGTGGGTATTTTCAGTATAATTCCAGGTAGGTTTGCTATTCTTTCAATGCTATTCAGTATCTTTATGAGAAATGTGGAAGAAAATATGAACTTTTTGCTTTGAAAAGAAAATTACGGATGCCAAAAGCCTGATAGAACAGTAACCAGTAATGAGAATAAATTATATGGAACAAACTGAGTCACATCGTTAAAGCAGACTTACTTGTATTCCAATATGGCCAAATGCAATAAAATAAATGTAGGTCACACAGTAGATGAAAAACCATGTTCGGGAAATCAGTGAACTTGGAAAAAGTACACGGGACATCATGGATAATCAGCTAAATATGATCCATCAGAGTATGATAAATGGAATTCCAAGTAGGAGTAAGGAAGGGTTACTTATGAGGCTGCTCCTTTGTCAATGTTTCAAAAACTGACTTGAAAATTGAAAAAGAAAAAAAAAGATTGTAATTCTACCCATAGGGATTATACAAGAGATATAACAATGTTAATTTATTTCTCTTGTCAATGAGGTTAAGACGTGATTTGATCATAGTCTGCAAGTACCTGTCTGGGGACAAAATTTCTGGCAGTAGCTGCCGCTTCTTTCTAGCAGACAGGAGCACGGCAAGATCCACTGGTGAGAAACTCATTCCTCCCACTGGAAATGAGGAACCCATTTTACCAGTGGTGGTAATCAATCATTGTCAAAATACCTAGGAACGTCATGAGTTCTCCTGCAGACAACATCTTTAAATCAAGACTGGCAATCTTTAATTGGGCGTTCTTACTTTCCAAGAACATACAAACTTATTTTATCCATCCCAGATTTACAGAAACCTGCTACTTTTATCAGTTATTCAGAGAGTTTCCAGTGCTAGTGGTCTGTGTCGTGCAACTCTTGATCCCGCTTTATTTATGACCAAGGCGGAGGGAAATTTCTGGGGTTTTTTCTGCATACTTAATTAAGAAAATAACAACCCAAAACCAAATGACACAAAAATACTGCTGAGATTGCAAAATGAGCACTGCAGTTATGTATGGAATATGAATCTATGCACCCTCCATCTGTGGCCCCATCTCCTCAGGCACAGACACGCGTGTCTTTGAGTGCATGGTTGCTGCTTTATTTATTTATTTTTTTAGTGAAGAGCTGAAAAGTCCCGTCCACAAACCAAACCGGCCATGCCTGTACCAGCCCTTATTCTATTTGACAGCGAGAGATGGGTGGTAGAAGAAAAAGTGGATTATTTTTCTAACTAGACATCTAATTTATTAGCGTTGTACAAGGGCTGCCTTTCCTGTGAGAAAAAAAGGAAGAGAACACTGACAGATTCAGTTTATCACTGTGCTGTACAATCATCTATACATCTGCAAATTAAGCACAATATGAGTGGAAAAAGTTTATGGTAGAAGTAAAAAGTTGATTTTTATTAGAAATTTTTCACAGCTTCAAGGTAGAAAAATCTCCTACAAAGCCAAACTTAAGAGTATGGCTGATTTTCTTCACACTCTACAGTGTTTAGTTGTTATGATAAATCTGGAAATTTTCAGACAACACTGATTTTTTGCCATCAAATAGAGAAAAAATAGGCCTTTGTAGTGTAATGTTCCTGGTTGCAATCCTAACCAGAAGCAAACTGCTTCCATGTAACAATCTTGTAAAAATGAATGAAATAGAAAAGAGATATTTTAACCACACCTATGTTGAAAATGACATCATGGGAATAAGTAAAGCAAGACTTACTGCTTCCCTTTACTTAATAACTTCAGATTTATGTTTGTACAATCATAGAAAAGTCATTTTAGCTTCCCTAAGTTTTCCCATTTGGATTCTGCAGTTATTTGAACAATTTAATATTTTGGCACAAACTGTTAAAAATAAGTAATTCCATTGAATTATTCCTATAGGTTTTGGCAAGAAGAATCTTTTTACTACGTGTATGGACAAGATATTTATACAAGTAGCATGTGTTCCTCACCCTCATTCAGGATCTCAAGACATTCTTCTAAAGGAAATCATTGTTACTACTATTATTTTACTTGAAAATAGATCATCTTTGATGACATGATATTTCATTAGGGATATTTTTCTGTCTCAATTTAAATTTATATGGAAAATACCTTGGACTGAAATCTTCCCTCTATTTACACCAGTAGGTAGCAAGGTCTGGTTTGCTTTCAAGATGTAGCTCAAAATCTCTTTGGGATTAAATTTAAAATCAATCAAAGGTTTCTACACAATATATATGTCATTCTGCACATGCCCTAGTGCCAGATAAAATTAGACATCCGGACTAAGTCAGTCATATAGACTTTGTCTACAGTCAGCAGAGAGAAATTAGGATCACCAGAAGAAACTTCTAGGAGAAAGGACATTTTTGCTGCAGCACCAACTCCTGGGTTTTCTGCCTGAGGCTGGAAAATCTCATGCAAACCTGAGACCACCAGGAAACCCGCAAACACGATCAAGAAAATAAGTGTTCCTGAGATTCGTAAGTAAAAAAATATATATATTAAAATATATATATATTTACTTGAGATATATGTATTTAAATATATATAAGTAAAAATAAAGTTGCTTGAAACAAAATAGCCCCCACAATCTTTTACTCTTTCCAGCTTTCTCTATACGTGGTAGAGCGACATCACAGAAGTCGTCAGTTACAGGTTCCATTGCTGAACATTTTTAACCTAGAAAACTAAATAAATATTAAACTCTGTCTTCAAATTGATATTTTATTTTGAACAAATACCTTCACTTTCTTCACTACTGGTATTCATATCCATATGCTTTATGCTACTATACAATTTTTTTTCAGGAGCAATAGGTCCTAAAGATTTCAGACAATACAGAGGAAAAAATTAGTACTGAAAACATTATCTACATTCTTCAAATCTTTTTAAACATACCTAACACCACTTACGTGCTTTTGTGATAGGCAAAAATATAAAAATCTGACAAGCAGCTATTTCGTTCCCTGCCAAGTATGTTTCATTAGTTGGTTCCCCCACTAGTTTCAGTTCATATTTATTCACTAAGACATTTACTAATGAATTCACTTTTAACTAATAGGTTTAATTTATCCATTTGGAGGCAATTAATTCTCCGGATAACTACACTGATGTTGTACTAGGTAATTTCATCAGTGGGAATTTTAGTTTTCTGTGGGAAAGTGGCTTAGTTAATATATGTATTTCAGTAGGTGAAGAATCCCATCCAAGAAATAATACATGAGAACAAACAGGAGAAAAATAGAGCTTGAGAAAGCAATACAGCATAATCTTTCTCAATGAGTAATATGTTGCTTTCAAGAAGCAATTTATTCCTTTCAGTATAAACTATTTAGACTTCAGCTCGCAGAGCATTTAGAGGTTATACTCATTTCCCTGTACCTCCTTAAGCCAACACTCCAAACTAAGGTTATGTCAGTATTTCTGAATTTCAGAGGCATGATTCTTTCTCTCGCTAGCATGAAGAAAGTTTTGAGAATTCTGATGAAATTCTCAGTCTCTGACACATGGTTCTGTCCTAGTTGTATTCATCAGACCAAATCATGAAAGCTACTACCTAAAAGAAAAGAAAAATGAATTGCCCATCTTATACATTTATATTTTAATAGTAAAAACCTCCAAAGAAAATAATGTCTTGCATTATTTGGCATTTGGCTTGCATGCCTCAGTTTTGAGTATAATTATTTAATAATAATTACACTTATAATAATTATTATTATTTATATAATTATTGAAGAGGGACTCTTTATCAGGGCATGTAGTGATAGGACGAGGGGTGATGGTTTTAAACTGAAAGAGGGGAGATTTAGATTAGATACTAGGAAGAAATTCTTTGCTGTGAGGGTGGTGAGACACTGGAACAGGTTGCCCAGAGAAGCTGTGGCTGCCCCATCCCTGGAGGGGTTCAAGGCCAGGCTGGATGGGGCTTGGAGCAACCTGGTTGGAACTCCATGAACTTTAAGGTCCCTTCCAACCTGAGCCATTCTATGATACTATGATTTTGGTATGATCCAGCAGCTACCTGCTGGATGAGGTGTAAGGACATTTTTCCTCTGTGCAGATTGTTCCTGAAGAAGCAATTATTAGGGTGAAATTTATCTTACCTGACTCTAAGCTCTAAAAGCTCAATGATCATTGCCTAGGCTAAATCAGTGGTTAGCTCGCCTGTCATCTGTGCAGTGAAATAGGCTGGGTAAATCTGTGTTTGGATGACACTGTATTAGATATCTACCTTAAGAAAGGAAGAATCCAGAGATACATGTCTCTTCACATTGCCTGTATCTACAGGACTAACTTAGGTTAGCCTTAAACTTTGAGACAGCAAAAGTTAAGTAAGACATCTGCTCTGACAGAACAGTCTGCTAAGTGGAAAAATTGGCGTAATCTAATACGGCAATTTATATGTCTCACAATTAGAGAGAAGATGTGGATTGATGAGAACATAGAGGTACCCTTATTATGATGAAAGTGACCTCTTGTCAGACCTTTCGTAAAGTATGGCTCAAGTTCCTCCTGGGACAACTTCAACTGCAGTAACTTGGCTGTCCTCCAGAAAATTCTACAGTATATTAAGATGGGCCAGATAATCCTCTCATTCATCCAAATTCAACACAGTTAAATATATATAAAATATTGACATTTTAAGAATATTTAATTTTAGGTGTAGAAAACTTAAATGTATCCTG